GAAAACGGGGCTGATCTGGTCGCTGCCCCTTGCCAAGTACATTTCGAACGATGAACTTAGATCTGCCCGCTAAAGCAGTGCAGATACATGTGCGATAATCTGGCCGATTCAGCAGCTCATATACATGGGAGAGAATTGACTGATCCGGTCGCTGCCCCTGCCTGGGTACGTTTTGAACTTTGAACTTTGATCCGCTCTCTAAAGCAGTGCAGATCGTTGGGCCGTAATGGTCCTCGACAATGAGCTCCATTAGCTCACTCGAATTGAGCTCGCTGATCAGGCGGGCCAGACAGGTAATATTAAACCCTTTCCCCGCCCGAAGTGATGGAACTTAGGGCTTGGCGACTAAAGACCATGGTCAGTAAAGGCAGTGAGAGGGAACGAGAGTGAGAGAGAAAGAACAGCGAGAGAGAGAGAGAGAGAGAGAGCAGCGAGAGTGAGAGAGAGAGAACAGCGAGAGTGAGAGAGAGAGAACAGTGAGAGAGAGAGAACAGTGAGAGTGAGAGAGAGAGAACAACGAGAGTGAGAGAGAAAGAACAGCGAGAGAGAGAGAGAGAGAGCAGCGAGAGTGAGAGAGAGAGAACAGCGAGAGTGAGAGAGAGAGAACAGTGAGAGTGAGAGAGAGAGAACAGCGAGAGTGAGAGAGAGAGAGCAGCGAGACTGAGGGAGGGAGAACAGCGTGAGTAAGGGAGCGAGAACTGCGAATGGGAGAGAAAGAGAGAGTGGGGTGGCACATCCAAAGTTGATTGTGAAACTTGCTATGGCGGCCTAGTTGCAATTCCCAGTTGTCTKCTAAAAACTCACCATTGCGTGGAGTGGCTGAATTAACCATTGGTTGATGGAACGAGTTGCTGTGTGACACCGGTTGACTGTTGTATCTCCCTAGTCGCTAAAACGTACTGTTGTGCGATACCATTTGGCTGAATTATTAATTGGTTGTTGAAACGTACTATTGAGCGATACCAGTTGATTGTTGGAACTCCTTGCTGATTGAAGCTGCTAAATTACAAAAAGGAAGAAAAAGAAAAAAAAAGGGGAGCGTGACAGGACGCTCCCGACCTCGATCCCTGCTGGTCGCTGAGGACCTCGGAAGCGGGTGCGGCGAGTGACAGGCGTCGTAGCCCTTGGCTTCAACGAACGGTAGGCGCCCCTCCCCGGGTTTCCTCACAACTTTGGCGCCGTTGCCGGGGAGGGGAGCAGCACCCCCAAGGCCGCGGCCTTCCCCAACCAACGGGGGTGCACGGGCTGATTAGTCAATCACTAATTAGCTTGTTTTCTTGATTACTTTTATTTTTTTTCATCATTTTATTTAGTTTTTTTTATATACCTCCCGATCCGCGCGCTTTCGTGCGAGCCGCGCGGGGACCAAAGTTCGCCCTCTCGTCGAGGCGAACGTTTTGAGATATTTTTTGAAAAATTCTAACGGCTAGAAAAAAAGATATGGAATTTTTTGTATTTTTTTAATTAAAAATCCCAAAAATAATTGATTAAAATTTCTAATTGGTTTTTCCTCGATATCTCCTGATCCATGCGTTTTTGCGCGAGGCGCACCGGGAGTAAAGTTCGACCTCTCGTCGAGGAGAACGTTTTGAGACATTTTTTAAAACCGTTTAATGGCTAGAAAAGGAGATATGGAATTTTTTGTAATTTTCTAATTAAAATTCCAAAAATTATAAATTTCCTTTTATTTTAATTACGAAGAAAAGAAGCGAAATTAGGTGAACCTCCCCGGACCAAAGTTGGTCCTTATATTTTTCCCGACATTTTGAGACCTTAGTCGGGGAAAGCGGACTCCGTTAGGACGAGTGGTGACCGCCAACAGACAGAAAAAGAGGGGAAAATTAAGAGGAATTAGTGATTTTCTTTATATTTTTATAAAAATCAAAGGG